CGGAACCAAGAGCTGCAGGCTAAGGTAATTAGCCTTGAACAGTCCCAACTATCTGCCCCCCGCCCTCCTAACCCTCGATCTGTTGTAATCCCAGTCTCTCAGCCCAGCACAGCCCTCGTTCCAAGGGTCAGCGGAACTGTGGCAAGTACAGGAACCGGTGCCAGCTCCTCAAGCGGCAGCACTGGCAATTCTGCGCTGGTCGCAGTCCCAAATGCAGGGACTTCAGCCCAAAACGCCATAGTTCTTACTGGCGTTCAGTACAGCGGTCCCATGGTGGACAAGCGGGCGGCCACGCTGCCGTCCAAGTACGACGGGAAGGTTGACATCACCTCTTGGATTAGTTCCATGCGGTCGTACTTCGAGGTCATGCGGACACCGCAAGAGGACCGAAGTATGATCATGGGAACTAATACCGAGCCTGCCGTACGAAACCACATTGAGCTTCAAGTTGTTGCTGCAGGTTATGCACGCATAGACCTGACTGATTGGCTGAAGGTCACCCCTGTTCGCACCCTTGAGGATCTTCTCCTTGACCGGTATCAGGATAAACATGCTGCGCTCAAGGCTAGACTGAAGCTTGAGGCCCTCAAGGGCCAAACATGGAGGTCATCCATGCAGGCTTTGGAACAGCACTTGACTGGTCTATTCACCACTCCGAATCTAGGAATGACTGACGTGTCTTGCATGAATGTAGTCATGGGAGTGGCCCCTAAAGAATACCTCTCCCTGCTAGCACTCAAAGACCATGCTACCTGGCGGGAGCTCATGAAGGACCCAGTCGACCTAGAGGCCAAGGACCTCGCCAGGCGCAAGAAGGCACCCGCTGCAGGTGGGAAACCACAACGCAAGCGGTTTGGAAGCAGCAACCAGCTTGCACTGCATGATCATCGGGAGGCCGACGATCAGTCCTATGCGGATGATCTGTCTCTAGATGACGATCTAGAGCCGGACTCCGATACGGGCTGTTCCACATCAGCCATTGAGTGTGACCGAAATGATGACGAAAAACTTAATGCATTCAGAAAGACTGCTTCGAATAAGGGCCCTGACCGTGGTTCGGGTAAGGGAACAGTTATACACCTTCCCAAGAATGCTAAGATCCCTGAGAAACCGGAGGACGCTTCCACCAAACCTTGGGAAGCCCTCCGCATCAGCCAAAAAGAATGGGAAAGAAGATCCAAACTGCGCGTATGCTTGCATTGTTCAAAGCCTGGGCATGCTGTGCAGGATTGCTATCGTCTTCAGGGAAACAGGCAAGGGGCGTAGAGGAGTCATCAGCACTCTCTACAGCAAGGGAAGTTGGGAAGTCAGTTGCAGGCCCTTCCGAGGAGCCTGAATCTGATCAGCAGCGTTCTCTTGAAGCCCAAACTAATGTTGAATCGAAGGCTGACGCAGTCCAAGTATTGTACACTGAGCCTTGGGAGGAGTCTAAAGAGGTCGACCTCCACGCCCATATGAAGCATTGGCTGCAGCTCAAGCAGCAACGCCGTGTTCAAGGGAGCGTGGAGCTGATTTTCTTTAAACTACTCATTAACCGCCGATACATCCGTGTGCTGATTGACAGTGGTTCGACCACTAATTTCTTCTCTCCGAACGGGATTCGTAAGGCGGGCCTGGGTATGAAGCAAGTGGAACTGCAGAACCCTTGCCGGACTCAGGTGGGCAACCAAGAGGTTGTCACTCCTACTCATGCTGTCAAAGGTGTGCGCATCAAAGATCGCACTGTCACACATGAGCTGAATTTCTATGTTCTGGACAAGTGTCCTTTCGACGCGGTCATTGGCTTGGGCTGGCTMAAGGCTCATTGCCTAAGGACCACGTGGGCAGACAACCAGTTCGTTGTACTTGATGCCAAGGGGAACGAGCGTACCGTCTTACTAGACGAGACGCGTGAGTCCCCTGTGACTCTTCTCAGTGCTAACAAATTCTGCAGGTCAGTGCGCAGGCGCAAGGAAGCTGAATTTGTACATATAGCTCTTGTAAAGCCTCTCCACGTGCCTTCTACTTTTGCTGCATTTTCTACCTCTGAAGGTRACTCTACCTCTACTACTACTACTTCTGTTCCACCTACTTCTGCTGTAAATGATCAATCTAGTTCGGAACCAAATATGTCGAAACCGGTTGTGATTGYTGTAAATTCCCAATCTGATTTTCTCTCTCCTGATGAGGATGATCCTCCACCAGAAATCCCAGCGAACATTCGCCATGTATTAGATCGATTTCCTGAAGTGTTGGYTGAACCTCGCGGAGTTCCCGAGCGTCCAGTCAAGCACTAAATCGAGATAATAGAAGGGAGTGTTCCTCCAAAGGGCTGCGTCTACCGTATGGGACAAGGCGAGTTGGAGGAGCTGCGGAGACAAATTGATGACATGATTGATCGTGGATGGATTAGGCCTAGCGAGTCTGAGTTCGGCGCACCTGTTTTGTTTGTGCCGAAGAAAGGAGGCAAACTCCGGATGTGCATTGATTATCGTGGTTTGAATCGAATCACAAGGAAGAATGCCTACCCTTTGCCTATATAGATGATCTGCTGGATGCGGCCGGTGGATGCATAGTCTTCTCCAAGATCGACCTCAAGTGTGGCTACCACCAGATTGAAGTTGATCCAAGCAACCAGCACAAAACTGCATTCAAGACATGCGACGGGCTGTATGAATTCATCGTTATGCCCTTCGGCCTTACAAACGCACCAGCCACATTTCAGTCCTTCATGGACAAGGTACTCCGCCACCAACTTAACAGGTTTGTGGTTGTGTATCTTGATGACATTCTGATTTTTAGCAAGTCCATGGAGGAGCACGTCAAGCATCTCGAGGAGGTCTTGCAAGTCCTCAAAGATGCTCAACTGCACCTCAACTTGGAGAAATCTGAGTTTGGCAGGGACAGCGTCATCTACCTTGGACATCGGTTGTCTGCAAGCGGTCTTGAGCCGGAGGCAACCAAGGTTGAGGTTATCCGCAACTGGCCTCAACCGGCGAATGTACGCGAGCTGCGTTCTTTTCTTGGTTTGGCTTCTTACTACCAGAAGTTTGTGCCTAAGTTCTCTGTCATTGCTCACCCACTCTCACGCCTTACTAGTAAGAATGTTGCCTATGCGTGGTGTGAAAAGTGTGAGACTGCGTTCCAAGCCTTGAAAGAGGCTTTGGTGAGTCATCCTGTGCTCCGCATTGCGGATCCCAACCTCACCTTCGTAGTCACTACGGATGCGAGCGAGTTTGGGATTGGTGCAGTGCTGCAACAAGATGATGGCGATGGCCTGCGTCCGCTTGAATATTACAGCAAACGCATGCCCAGCCACAAGGTAGCCACTTCCACATACATGCGGGAGCTCTACGCCTTGCGCGAGGCGCTCACGCATTGGAAGCACTACCTCTTGGGTCACCCACTTCAAGGTCTATTCAGATCATCAGACTTTGCAATGGATTAAGACATAAACTGATCTCTCTCCAACTCTGACCCGCTGGCTGCATGACATTGATGTGTTCAACTTTGAACTAAAACATAAGAAAACTTGCTATAATCGTGTTGCTGATGCTCTCTCGCGCCATCCCGAGTATTTGACTTGCCTTGTGGACTCGTATGACCTCCGGAGGAAACTGAAGGAGGATCTGGTCGAGCACACTGCCAAGGATCCGGACCTTAGTCCCATCCTTGAGCAGCTCAAGGCTGACCCCAACAGTCAGCCTGATTTTCATGAATGCGAGGGTCTTGTATTTCGCCGGTACGGAAAGTTTGACCGTCTGTGTGTACCCAACCACGCGCCTCTCCGAACTCATTTCTTGGATCTCGCGCACGGTCGGAGTGGACATTTTGGCTTTGAGAAGACTTATGGAAGTCTTCTGCAGCAATTTGATTGGCCAGGAATGAAAGGATCTGCTCAGAAATTCATTGTTGAATGTCAAGTATGCCAAAGAATCAAGGTCCACAGGCATAAGCCTTATGGCCTACCGAGACCTCTCCCCATTCCTGATGGACCCGGTGAATCGATTTCCATCGATTTCACGGATATGGGAAAGGTGAGTGAGGCTGGGAATTCACAAGTCATGGTCATTGTGGACCGCTTCTCCAAATTTCCGAACTTGATTCCTCTCCCTCCTCACGCCCCGACTGAACTTGTAATAGAAGAATTCCATCAGCAGTACATTCTGCAGTCCGGCGTCCCGAAAACTATTGTGAGTGATCGGGACACCAGATTCATCAGCAAAGATTGGAAAGACTTCACGTCTCAGATCTACGACATCAAACTGGACAGGACTTTTGGTCGACACCCCGAAGCCAACGGATTGGCTGAGGAGATCAACCAGACTGTCATCCAATTGCTTCGCGCACTAATTGTTCCAGATCAGAACAAGTGGGACAAGGAATTGCACAAAGTGAAGGGGTTGTACAACAATTCCATCCATTCTGCGACTGGTGTGACACCAAACCAATTGCAGTATGGATGGCCTATGCGTAATCCCCTCTCCTATCTGTCCCCCGAACGGTCACCTGGTCTGATGCCCGGCATGCCTGGCTACAATGCCAAGTACGCACTCTTGCTCAAAGCTGCTACAGTAGCTATGAACAAGCGCCAGCATGCCATGATCAAACATGCCAATAAGCTGTGCAAAGAGGAAAAATTCAAAGTAGGGGATTATGTTTGGGTCAAAATGTCTGAGTTTTCTGATGAAGAGGGCATATCACAGAAGCTTCTTCCACTGTACTACGGCCCTTGGCAGATTCTGAAGGTAGTCGGGGATGACTTCGGTCCTTCGTACGTGATTGACGTGCCTCCTCACATGCGCACGTATCCAGTCTTTCATGCCTCCAAACTGTTCCCACACATTGATGATGAGACTTTTCCCTTCCGTGACCCTATGATACCTCGCCCTATTGATGGCGGCCATGAGATTGACATAATCGTTTCTTACGAGGGGAGAGGGAGGAACAGACAATACAAAGTTCATTTCCTCTACCACCCGTTGAACGAATTCTTCTGGATCGACCGGAAAGAACTGATAAAGAGTGCTCCACGTGTTGTGAACGCATATGAACGACAGATTGTTGACAGACAGACCGCTAAGTTTGCTGCAAAACTCACTCCGTTCGGACTCACTCCGTTCGGACTCACTAACACTCTCTTTTTGATCTATGCCTATGACGCCTTCTGTGTCGACTCTGACTGAGTTACTCGCTCGAAGGGACCTCGCTCTCGAGAGGGGAGTAATGTAATGACCCGCCYAAAACACAGACTGAGAACACTGCTGATTTATGGGATTTGTCAATGGAATGAATGCCTTGTTGTGATTCCCGCATTCTGCTGTGGTCCCAAGTCTGTGTGTGTGCGTGCCTGCTGGTTTGCATACCTATCTGAGTGCTTGCCGGTTGTGTGTGTGTGCGTGCCTGCTGGGTTGCATGCCTGTCTGAGTGCTTGCTGGTTGGGTATGTGTGTGCCCCGCCAGGGTACTTGTTGGTTGTAAGGCCCACCGGGCCGGTACTTACCTGTGGTCGTGACTTTGAAGGGGTCCAGGGGGGTAAACATGCCGGTAGCGAGGAGTAGGCCCACGACACTTAAAGCAGCTGGGGAAAAACACTCAAGTAGCAGGTAGGCCGAGGAGAAGAAGACAAAAAGTTGCCATTTTTAGAGGCCCAGTAGCGGTAGGTTAGAGGTAGGCCGGTACCAGTCCAAGTAGCCCGGGTCTAGGGCCTGTGCGGACAATAACAGAGCCTGCAATGATGTTTCCCTCCAAAAGGGAGGAGGTACYGGTTGCTGGGAGGCCGCTTGGCCTAGGAAGTCACCGCSCASGAGGCCGGAAGGCCGCTATATCTTCAGGAAGAGCGGTRAGCTCTTCCTCATTTGSGGTATGCAAGGATTGGCGACATSCTGCTGGAGCGCAGCGCTGGTCTGAAGCAGCGCTGCTTGGAGGTGAAGGTCTGCTGGGGCTCARCCTGGCTATGGCGAGCACCCCAGCTTGAAGGAGGAAGAAGGGGGRCATGGTAGGAGAGTGGTAGGGCACTTACCTGGCTATGGTGGACACCGTCTTCATCACCTTGTTGGGCGCTGCATCTGGAAGGCCCCAGTTGGGGTAGCGCTGCACCAGGGCAGCTCGAGGCAGAGTCAGGCATTGCGGACCRAGTCAAGCAGCGRCATAGCTGCTTTGAGTTGTCTTTCGGGCATCAGGGCAGCATCATAGCTGCCTTCCAGTAGTCCGCCATGGCCCATGCTTGAGAGAAGAGGTTGAAGGAGGGAAGACATAGCCATGGTGGACTTGTTGTTGTTGTTGTTGTTGTTGTTGTGAGTTGAGACAGCAGTAAGGGGGAACTTCGGACATTGATTCTGGTTCATCCATTCATTGTTATTATTATTGTTGAGAGAAGAATAAGATTGGTGAAGAGAAGGAGGAAGGAGGAAGGTGGAGAGAGAAGGGGGAATTGTCATCGGTCTTGCTGGTGTACTTCTTCTTCTTCTTCTTCTTCTTCTTCTTTACCTCTCCTCTGGTCTTTATCTCTTGCAAGTGCTTTCATTTCTTTCGCAATTGGGTGGCATTGTCTTTCATTGTGAATTTGGACTTGGGAAATGACCAGGATCGACGCAGTTATTGGCTTGGGCTGGTTGCAGGCCCAATGTGAAAGAACCATGTGGAAGGACTCACAGTTCATGGTAAAAGATGCCATGGGAATCGAGCGTCCAGTCCTCTTGGATGAGCCGCGCGAGTCCCAAGTAACTTTTCTCAATGCAATGCAATTCTGTAAAAAGTGGCGCAGRCGCAAAGCTGATGAGCAAATRTATWTAGCCTTTGTTAGGCYTGCTCATGTGCCTTCTGTTCTTGCTATACATAATGATTTCACTTTGCATGCAGTTTCTACTTCTAATGCAACTACATYTACTCCTAGTSCAAATGACTCTGCTTCTAATCCTGTTGTTTTGGTTGCACCTATGCCACCCGATATGCTTGTACCTGAGAGTGATGATCCACCTCCGGAAGTCCCATCAAAAATTCGCAACCTTCTCAACCGATTTCCTGAAGTCTTGGCCGAATCACATGGAGTTCCTGTCCGTCCGGTCCAACATAAGATCGAGTTGATTGAAGGTAGCACTCCTCCAAAAGGTTGTGTCTATCAAATGGGCTCAGGCGAATTGGAGGAGTTGCGGAGGCAAATTGATGACATGTTTGGGAAGGGATGGATCAAGCCAAGCGAATCGGAGTTCGGTGCACCGGTTTTGTTTGTCCCAAAGAAAGGAGGCAAACTACGGATGTGTATCAACTACCGCGGACTGAATAGGATCACAAGAAAGAATGCCTATCCCTTGCCGCGTATTGATGATCTGCTTGATGCTGCAGGTGGGTGCAAAGTCTTCAACAAGATGGATCTCAAGTTTGGCTACCACCAGATTGAAGTCGATCTTGCAGACCAGCACAAAAGTGCATTCGAAACTCGTGACGGGCTGTACGAGTTTACTGTCATGCCCTTCGGCCTCACGAATGCACCAGCCACCTTTCAAAGTCTCATGGACAAGGTATTCCGCAATCAGATTAATCGGTTTGTTGTTGTTTATCTGGATGACATACTAATCTTCAGCAAATCGATGGAGGAACACATGAGACACCTTGAGGAAGTGTTGCCGATCCTCAAGGATGCGCAACTCCATCTCAACTTGGAGAAATCTGAGTTTGGGAGGGACAGCGTCATCTACCTTGGACATCGGTTGTCTGCTGCAGGCCTAGAGCCCGAGGCAACCAAAGTTGAGGTCATCCGCAAATGGCCTCAACCAGCGAATGCCCGCGAGTTGCGTTCTTTTCTTGGCCTTGCGTCATACTACCGTAAGTTTGTGCCCAAATTTTATATCATCGCCCGTCCGCTGTCCAGATTGACCAGCAAGAATGTGTCCTACACATGGGATGGGGAATGCACAACAACCTTCCAAGCACTAAAGGAGGCTTTGGTGAGTCATCCGATGCTCCGCATTGCAGATCCCAAACTTACATTCGTAGTAACCACGAATGCCAGTTTATATGGGATTGGTGCAGTGCTGCAACAAGATGACGGCAACAACTTACGTCCGCTCGAATTCTAAAGCCAACGTATGCCCAGTCACAAGGTAGTTGCCTCCACTTACATGCGAGAACTCTATGCCTTGAGAGAGGCACTACACCATTGGAAGCACTATCTCTTGGGTCATCATTTCAAAGTGTTCTCAAACCACGAGACCTTGAAATGGGTTCAGACACAGAACAATCCCTCAACTATGCTGACCCGCTGGCTGCATGAGATTGTTGTGTATGATTTCGAACTTAGACACAAGAAAGGTTGTTACAATCATGTTGCGGATGCGTTGTCTCACCATCCTTAGTACATAACTTGTCTGGTGGGTTCCTATGATCTCCAAAGAATTTGAGGGAGGAACTCATTGAGCATACTGCCAAGGATCCGCCTGACCCTAGCAGTCAGCCTGATTTCCATGAATGTAAGGGTATACTTTTCGGACGGTACAGGAAACACGACCGACTGTGTGTACCCAACCATGAGTCGATCCTCGCTCACTTCTTGGACTTGCCTCATCGTCGGAGTGGACACTTCAGTTTTGAAAAGACATACGGAAGTCTGTTACAAATATTTGTATGGCCTGGAATGAAAGGAATGGCACGAAAGTTTGTGGCTGAGTGTGAAGTTTGTCAACGCATCAAACCATCTCGGCAGAAGCCCTACGGACTACTGCATCCTCTTGCTATTCCTGATGACCCGCGTGAGTCTCTTTCCATCGACTTCACGGACATGGGAAAAAAGAGTAGAAATGGATATTCGCAAGTAATGGTTTCTGAATCTGATCCCATTACCACCTCACGCCCCAACTGACCTTGTGATCAAAGAATTTCACAAGAAATACATTCTGCAGTGTGGGCCCCTGAAAACTCTTGTGAGTGATTGGGACACTAGGTTCATAAGTGCAGAATGGAAGGACTTCACCTCCCAGGTCTATGACATGAAACTCAAGATGACATCTGGTCGACATCCTGAAGCCAATGGACTGGCCGAGGAGATCAACCAGACCGTGATCCAACTTCTTCGAGCCTTAATTGTGCCTGATCAGAACTCTTGGGATGAGGAATTGCTGATCGTGCAAGGGTTGTACAACAACTTCATCCACTCCTCCACCGGGATGACGCCTAACCGGCTACATCTTGGATGGAAAATCCGCAATCCTCTATCTTATTTGTTCCTTGAACAGCCACCTGGCCTAACACCTGGCCAGCCAGGCTACAACGCTAATTACGATTGTTTCCTCAAAGTTGTTGTCGCAACTATGGAGAAGCGACGCAGTGCCATGATTAAACATGCAAACATCCTGATCCTTTCACAGTGGGAAGCTATGTTTGGGTCAAGATGTCTGAGTTTTCTGAAGAAGAAGGCGTATCACGAAAGCTTCTTCCTCGGTACTACGGCCCCTGGAAGGCGCTGAACGGAGTAGGCAATGATTCCTTTGGTCCTTCCTACACGATCGATGTGCCTGCTCATCTGCGCACATATCCAGTCTTTCACTCATTGAAGTTGTTTCCGTATGAACCACCTGAAACTTTTCCTTATCGAGAATCAATGATTCCTCGCGCAATCAATGGCGTCCATGAGGTAGATAGAATTGTTGAGCATAGTGGAAAGGGGAGAAATAGACAGTACAAAGTGCATTTCCTTTACCACCCGTTGAATGATTTCTACTGGATTGCTAAGAAAGACTTGCTGCAAAGTGCTATGCGAGTCGTCAATGCATATGAACGATTGTTTAGCTCTGAACAGCAACCTAAATTCACTGCTACACTCACCCCTACGGAACACACCTGATCTCTCTTTGCCATCTACACTTACGATGCATTATGCAAGGGCTCTGATTGAGTTACTCGCTCGAAGGGACCTCGCTCTTGAGAGGGGGGTAGTGTAATGACCTGTCAAAACACAGACTGAGAACACTGCTGATTTCTGAAGTTATGCCAATGGAATTGATGCCTTGCTGAGATTCCCGCATTCTGCTGTGTTTTCTAGGTCTGTATGTATGTGCGTGCTTGTAACCTGCATGCCTGTCTGAGTGCTTGTCGGTATGAGTGTGTGTGTGACCCGCAAGGGTACTTGCTTGTTTGGCAGGCCCGTAGGGCAGGTACTTACCTGTGGCCGTGGCATTGAGGGTTGCAGCAGGGAGAAACACTCAAGTAGCGGGGCCAGGGGCCCGCGGTGCTTAGAGCAGCGGAAAAACACTCAAGTAGCAGGTAGAACGGTACCACACCCAGTAGCGGTAGATGTGCCGGGTACTCGAGGCCGAGCAGAAAAAAGACAAAGTTGGCATTTTTAGAGACCCAGTAGTGGAAGGCTAGGTCTAGGCCGGTACCTGTCCATCCAGCCTGAGTCTAGAGCCTGTACGGGCAATATCAGAGTCTGCAATGATGTTTCCCTCCGAAAGGGAGGAGGTACCGGTTGCTTGGGAGGGCGCGCGGCCTGGAAGTCACCGCCCAGGAGGCAAGCAGGCCGCTATATCAAGAGGCCGAGGCAAGAGCTCGACCTCATTCTTCAGTGTGCAAGTTTGGTGACATGCTGCTGGAGCGCTGGCTGGAGTGGCGCTGGGTACTACAGCACTGCTGGGAGGAAGAAGCCGGGAGCTTCCACCTTGGCTATGGTGGAGCTCTACCGGTAGGAGGAGGAGGGAGAAGGGGACCAAGGAGGAGAGTGGTGAGGTACTTACCTGGCTATGGTAGACACCATCTTCATCACCTTGCTAGGCGCTGCATGAGGAAGGCCCCAGTGGGGGCAGTGCTGGAAACTTGGGACAGAGTCAGGCATGGCGGTTGAGTGGGCAGCGACATAGCTGCATGGTGTTGACCTTGAAGTGGGGCAGCGACATAGCTACTTTGGGTTGTCCTTTGGACAGGAGGCTGAAGCCTCAGTAGTCCGCCATAGTCTCCGCCTGTATGTAGAGGAAGAGGAAGGGTGACCATGGCTATGGTGGACCTCATATTGTGCCTGCAAAGACACTGATTCTGGTTCGGCCATTCAACATTATTATTGTTATTTCTTGTTTGAATAAGAGGGGAGGAGATAAGGAGGAGGAGATTGGGTGGCGAGGAAGAAGAGCTTTGTCATTGGTCTATGCTAGAGTACATCGTCTTCTTCTTCTTTCTTACTTCTTCTTCTTCTTCTTTCCCTCTCTCTCCTCTCAAGTTCATTCATTTCTCTTTGCAATTGAACGACATTGTACTTTCTGATGTTTTTATACTTCGAAATTGGTCAGGATCGTAACACATGCAAGTATCATGCTACAGCCCCCGAGCTCGCACAACTCTCGCACACTGGCTGGATTACCTGCCACAGTGTTCCGCAAGACATTGTGAGTGACAAAGACACTCACTTTATGTCAGCCTTTTGGACGTCCCTCATGGCAGAGTCCGGTTCGACTATGAAGCCGAGTTCCGCACGGCACCCGCAGGCGGATGGGTAGATGGAACGAGCGCATCAAACGCTCAAATGATGTTGCGTACACTCATCTGTCCTGATCAGAAAGATTGGGTTGACCGGCTTCCCGACATCGAGTTCTCCTGTAACACTTCGGTGCACCCGGTGATCTGCATCACTCCATTCGAGTTGCATCATGGTGGAGAGAAAGCCCGAGTCTTTGCCGATCTTCTTCTACCACGGGCCGCCGACATCAACGTCCCTTGCTCTCCCGCTTCCATCCGGAAGTACCGAACTTGCTGATCAAAGCCCGTGCGAAAGGCTCAAATCCGCATGCAGCAGCAAGCTAACCGACGTCGACTGCCATGTCCTTTCCGCGAGGGAGACCTTGTTTGGGTCCTTGCTGAGGAATTCGCAGTGGAGCAAGACGTCTCGCGCAAACTCCTCCTGAAATGGTTTGGACCATGGAAGGTAATTTCTGCAGCAGGCGACGACCCTGCTAGCCCTTCCTTTGTGATTGCCACCCCCCCGCACCTCCGTGTGCACCCAGTTTTCCATGCGTCGAAGCTGGCCGTGTATATGCCACCTTCCGAGGATGAGTTTCCGGGTTGACGATCATAGGATCCACCCTCTATGGACGGACATCAGGACGTTGACCGTGTCATCACGCATCGCAAGTATGGCAACAAGCCAATGCAATACCAAGTCACATTCAAGCAATGTGCCCTGGATGGCACACGCTGGATCTCCCGCGCAGACTTACAGGCATCTGCACCACTCATCTTCTACGACTACGAGAACCGGCGACTCGCCAAGGACAAAGTTCGTCCCACCCGACCCGTCCAGGTATCGGACAGACAACTTCGCCCTCGCAGGTAGCTCGGTCTTTTAAGGGGGGGAGTGTGTTACATACTGCATGTCACACGGGTCCCTTTCGGACCCGACCACTAGGCCTAGGGGTACCACAGGCTTGGACAGGATAGTCCAGGCCGGCCCGGTCCAAAGGACGGACCTCTATGCGGAAGGCCGCCCGGTAGGCCCCGTCACACAGGCCCAAGCGGACACGGTCCAACAATATGACCGTTGGGCCGGAGGTGCCCTAGAGGCTGCCGCCCGCAAGGGCGATCTGAAACCGCAGATCAGCAACCGGATCTGACGGTTCAGACCACGGCACTGTTTTGAAGCAGTAAGGCCGAACAGGCCACTACGGTACTTAGTACCCAGCGGCAGTTGGTTCAGGGACCGGAGGAGTACGGCAGCAGTTACGAAATAGCGCTGCACTAATCTGGGATTAGCACAGCTCCGAGCACAGCAGCACTGATTAGCGCTGAGTGACGGTTGGAGGTGGGGGACGGACACTACCGGCTTACCTGCGTAGCGCCATAGCTCCAGGTTGGAGCCACGGGTCTTCGACAAGGCGCCAGCTTGCATCCGATAACAAAGGTAGTCTTTCTAGAGTTTTTATACTTACCAAGAACCTGTCCAATGCACAACTACACACACATGGCCAACAGAGTTAGCGCATGAACCCAGGCTCAATGCAAATCACAGAACAACAGACTCAGACTCAGAATTCTCAGAAAACAGATCGAAAGGACAGCATTTTCTCAGAATTGCAGAAATCTCAGACACGATTTGTGTGGGTCATTGCATCCTAAATTTATGCAGAAGCTGCTGGGTTTGCAGGCATGACACAGACTCCCAAATGTAGAGGTTTTGGGCTGCCTGTAGTGTAATGCAGTGAGCGTTGCTCTGGTAAGTCAGGTAGGTTAGGTGTGCTAGATGTAGTTTGGCAGCATCCAATAACCTGACAACTTCCCGCCTCGCCCCCCTCCCCACAGTCCCCCAGAGCCCGAACTTAGAGAGTCCAAGTGGCTTGGGAGAAAATACATAAGCAGCATATACTTTGGAAAGTACAATTCTTCCCTGTCAGAATCCATCACGCCCATCCAAGAATGCATCTGGACGGGCATGATTTGCAAGTGATTGTCGCAGGGAGGGATTCATTTTGCCCAGTAGAATCAAGCACAGGTCCGTCTGCACATAACTTGGCTGCTTATGACCTTCATCCAGAATGAAAGTCTTACAACTTGCAGCTCTTGGACGGAGAAGTGATTTGCCTCGGTCTCCTAGCAGCGAGACTTCTCATCCGCAGATCCTCCTCTGTATGCACATAAGTTCTCTTTAAGTTCTAAGCGATTAGAATAGTGCTAAGTGCATGTCGTTTGTTGGATGGTATGGCAACATGCTGGTGGTTGCACAACACTGGTGTCCGTCCTGGCAGCAGTTTCTAGCTTCTCCTAGTCAAGCAAGGTCAACGCCCTTGATAAGTGAAGCTTCGTTTGATTTCCGAAAAGGAAAGAGTGAACTATTCAGCTGCAATGCACTGACTGATGTACTTTGTTGGAATGTGTTATCTTCTGATCAGGTTGAGAGGGTCAGCCTTACAGCCAGCAAGGAGTATGCTCTTGAAAAGGCTTTGGATAAGATGGTTTCTGACTGGGACGGTATGGAGTTCAGAATAATATCATACAAGGAGACAGGAACCTACATCATTGGTGGCGTGGAGGAAATTCAAGGAATTCTGGATGATCAGATCATAAAAGTACAATCCATGCGAGCATCCCCCTTTGTAAAGCCATTACAGGTAGGACTGTTCCTAGATATTCTGCCAGTGAACAAAGCTAATTGGGTTAAGTGTTGAAGAACCAGAAGATGGTATCTCCTTCATGTTTCCATGCTGTACTGAAACAAGAGGCTTAGACAGAGAACTGTTCATGCATAAAAGTGCCAATCGCTCGGGGAGTCTGGGTATGTGGATACAGCATTTCAGTTATTAGTCACAAATAAAACCTTTTTAGCCTGGAAAAGTCACAACTGCTTGACAAACACCACTGGGTGCATAAAGCGGGGTGGCAAGTAGACCTGTAAGGAGGAAGGGGGGGGCTGGGCAAATGAGGACGTGGCGTGTGGGGTAGGGGAACATCACAAGCACACACACACACAAACAAAGACATGCCGGCAGAGAGTATAACACAAGGTCATCAAAGATGCACAAGAAGGCGGAAATCATGGGAGTAGGGAGAGATGGTGAAGCAGTATGACAGGGTTGGATTTTTAAAGAGAGGGAACACAAGGACCTATTGACGGGTTTTGTAGTCCTAGCAAGTTTCTCATCCTCCCAAGAGGCATGCAGTGAAGACTATTCCCCCATTAAGGCTGCACTTCACGATGGACATACAACCAATTGCAATCAGACTCGCTTTCATTCACACTTCACATGCATGCAAACAGGTAACGCAGCAAACTGGCGTCAAGCGCCCACTCAGAACTCAGAGATATAGTACCAAGAACGCAGCTCAGATACAAGTTCACTTCAAACGGCTATGGCGGCACATTGCCCGTACAACTCTCTGTTCGTCACTTACTCAACACTGCTGTTCGCACACAGGATCACCCTGGATATCCCACACGCAACACCCTGTACACTCGCACACACCCGCACATGAAACGGTATTCACCAGTTAGCAGTAGCTGCTGCAGATCCCAGGGTTCGATCCCTAGACCCCAACCTTACCTGTGTACAGTACCTGTGTGGACCCGTAGAATTGAACCCGCGACCTGTGTATTTGTAATAGCTGATAGGTTGTCGTAGGGTCCATAGGTAGCAGGGGTTCGATCTGTAGACCTGTCGGATAGGAGTCTTAGTCAGGTCTAGACATCGTAGCTGTAGTATTCTCGAAAGGTCAAGGTTGTAGCTGCTACAGTCCAGAAGAGTCAGAGTCGTAGCTGCTACAGTCCAGAAGAGTCAGAGTCGTAGCTGCTACAGTCACGAAAGGCCAAGTCTACGGCCTTCCGGAAGGTCCCAGTAGTGGCCTTTCGTGAGTTGCCCACGTTTAAGCAGAGGCAAACAAGTGGGCAAGTGGTAGAAGTCTACCCTGCTGAGTCAACAGTCCCAGTCCCCAGTCAGTCCAGCAAGTACCGCACGGGACTGTGTGCACTTGGGGCAAGGGAAATGGGCCAGACCAACGACCTGCAGAAGTATAAATCAAGAGGCAGYGCCCAGCCATTCATTCATTCCTGCGTGAGCCATGCGGAAGCGCTGCCACAGCGACTTGTGCAAGGAGGTCTGCGGTGAGCCCAGAGGACGCAGTGGGCAAGAGAGGAGGAGTTAGCATAGCGATAGGGTAGAGGCAGCCATAGCTGCCATAGCTGTAGTCAGTGGGAAGTGTGTGTGTGTATGTGTGAGTATTCAGAGTGATGCGTGTGGGATATCCAGGGTGATCCAGTGTATGTGAACAGTGAGTTGTTGGGGCGCTGAGTCGCCATAGCTAGTTGGAAGTGAACTCTTATCCGGAAGCCATATCTATGAGTATTGTGTGGCGCATGTCGCCAGTTTGCTGCGCTGCTGTTTACATGCATGAAAAGTGTGAATAAGACGAGTCTGATTGCATTGGTATCGGAGCTGGTACCCGCTATTCCATGCGCGCCGTCATATGCAGGACCTGATGCGCCATGGCCGAGGTGGCCGCCGAAGGCCGTAGTCCGCCATAGCGGACCGGAGGTTGGAGAAGCCGCCGCGCACCTGCAAGAAGACCACGACGAAGGAGAAGACCAAGAGAGAGAGAGAGAGGGAGAGAGGAAAGGTTGAGCGATACAAGATTGGGTTACTACGTACAACGATGTTTTCGTTAAAAATGAAATGTTTTACGAAAAGTGAACATACGAAAATGAATCGGGGAATGGACAAAACAGACGTTAACGACATTCATTAGAGGGCCGGAGATGATTTTTGATATATGAAAAATATAACAACGACCGACAAAGAATATTACTTTCATGCTGTTAACAAAGGAAAACTTCTTGTCGACAGTAATTACATGTCATTGAAGATCGCGAAAGAAAAATTGTCTTTGAAAGGTTTATGTTGGGCAAAAGGCGACTATCATATGCCTTGCAAAGAGGCCTCCGACGCTTACATCTGATTCACCAAGTTTGCCACTATAATTTCAAATTTTAAACAAGCTGAGTGCACAAGCAAAAAAAACCTTCGCAATGTCCCCAGACAGATAGCACCCCTGTTTGCTGTGAAAGATTCGAACCTTGTACGGTAACCGTGATGATCATACTTTCGACCTAGTTCACTTCCAAAACACTGATCAGCGACACATTTTGTCCATGACGTACAGGGTTCCCGTACATCTTCAAGCATCGTCACTTAAAAAACAACCACATAACAAAATTTAAAGCAACCCAGTTCATGGTATTTGGACTCGGTCTGATAGAATTCATGTATTAAGTAAGTCAATAAACGATCTGCTTTGCAGTATTGTCATCATAAAAAGCTAACTATCGTCTATTGTAAACAGTCCAGTTTTTTAAAACAGTGGTTTCATTTCGTTCATGATGTGCGGGATCTCTGTATTGTACATGCGCTTCTATGCTCTCATACTCCCGCAAGAGCAGATGTCGGACATACATGATTGTAGTGTCAACGAGGCCATCAAGTAATACTTTCAACGCTGGTTGTTCTGTAATTGCTCTCCGAAATTCAGCTACACGACGCACATCAGCATTAGATGTGCTTGCACGTGCCGAGTAATCRTTATGAACAAGGAATGACGTCGCATCAGATGTTGAAGTGTGAGTGTCATGGTCGTCAACTGTACGACATGCAACATCCAATTCATATGCCTGTCGTTGCCGCTGAACGGCAGGGGAGGTGCTCTCGCAAGTAGCGACATCGATTTCCAATTCTCTCTTTCTTTTACGAGCAGGCGTGTTGGAAATGAAGACGTCGTCGCGAATTACATGTTCGGAATCTGGAGAGCACATAGCGAGGTTGTGCATTTCCGCATGACAATTCTCATCCAGTAATGCGTTAGACGCCACGCAGTCCATACTTGTCAGCGCTGGATATTCAGCTCTCCGATACGAAGTGCCGCAAGGCATAATGAGTCTGCGAGGACAAATAAGCTCGTTAATGCACTGAAGGCGAGAACTCGCGACGTATATGACGAAGAGTTAATAATCATTCAACGCATGTGTCAGGCACGGAATACGGATTACTCAATCAATGCGCTGTTGTGAAAAACGAAGAGACCTAAAAAGAAAACAAAATTCAATATAATATGGAAATCCACGTATGACGACACACATGCCAATAACATCGGTTGAGAAATATGAACGGATTGTTTTTATTTAGCTAGTACATCACACATCTTTTTAACATGATGACCATTCAGAAAGCCTTGCCACGATAGTGTTCTGCAACAAATTTTATATTCATGAAAATATGGCAAACGAGGTATGACAACACGCATAATGTGAACGGATTGTTTTCATTTAGCCAGTAGACCATACATCTTCATGATGACCAATCAGAAAGCCTTCCATATCAACTCTAACAAGTCGGCAGTTCGAAGTGTGGAGCAGCATATGGTCAACGAATAATGACATTGTGTTTTATTAATATATGGAAACAATTGTCTTCCATAGGACAACAACCTTCGACAACACACTGCTGTCGGGGAAGCTGGAAGTTGTCGTATCCCTTACAATAATACTTGACAGGGCGAGGCAGTCTCTAGTATTCTGGACTGGTAACGAACTCGCACACATATGAGCCACCAGTAGCCGCGATCGTGTCGAACACGTCCGACCATGATAGCGAGAGGCATTGTCTGGTATGCAGAACAGGCAACAATAACGATGGAACGCCCTGTGAGAACCACCAATTTGTGCCAAACAGTCGCCTTGCCGAAGTCCTGACCACCAAATGCACTGTTATAGAGGACACAGAGCAGAAAGAGCACAGGGCACACACCAATTCTTCAGATGGTCGAAAAGGCCATTAGTAGAGGTCGTACCACTACGGACATATGTCTGGTTAAGCAATTGACAACGTGAGTTAGTCTTCACTGGTATCCCGAAGAGCTCGAGGCATCTTCACTATTAGTAGACGCCTGACCACTGCGCACATTATGTCCGGTCAGGCCGAGACAGTCTCTAGTACTCTGGAATGCTAACGAACTCGGACACATACGGGCCAGCAGTAGCGATTGTGTCGAACACGTCCGACCACGATAGCTTGAGGCAGTCGTTGTTATCGTGTTATCGTGTTATCGTGTTGAACACGATGACGACGGAACGCCCAGTGAGACAACACTGGAGACTACCCACGCAACTTGGACTTGACAGGGCGAGGCAGTCCCTATTTTGGACCGGTAATGAACTCGGACACGAGTTATGCAGACGGTGGAAACAGGCGCCAACAACGTTTGAGAACCATCGGTTTGTGCCAAACAGTCGGCAGTCCGAAGTCCGGACCGCGAAATGCACTATTGTAGAGGACATTTGATAGGGTGAGGCAGTCCCTATTCTGGACCGGTCGTAATAGGCGCCAACAACATTTGAGAACCATCGTTTTGTGCCAAATAGTCGGCAGTCCGAAGTCCGGACCACCAAATGCAGTATTATGGAGGACAATAGAAAGAGCACAGGAAAGGCTGACACAGGCGCCTACCCACACTTTCGTTAGAAATAGCACAGGAAAGGCAGTGTCACAGGGTAGACATCAGTTGTCGAGGCAGCCGAGACAGGCGCCTTGTGATGCCTTGCAAGACATCACATGAGACAACCCACGCTTTCGTAGATGTTCGGTTTGAGAACCATCAGTTTTTTCCAAACAGTCGGCAGCCCAAAGTCCGGACCCGCAAATGCACTATCATAGAGGACAGTACAAAGAGCACAGGAAAGGCAGTATCACAGGATAGACATCAGTTGTCCGGACGGCCGAAACAGGCGCCTTGCGACGCCTTGCAAGACAGCACATGAGACTACCCACGCTTGCGTAGTTGTTCGGTTTGAGAACCATCAGTTTGTGCCAAACAGTCGGCATTCCAAAGTCCGGACCACCAAATGCACTGTCATAGAGGACAGTAGAAAGAGCACAGGAAAGGCAGTACCACAGGAGAGACATCAGTTGTCCAGACGGCCGAAATAGGCGCCTTGTGACTCTTTGCAAGACAACACATGAGACTACCCACGCTTTCATAGATGTTCTCTTTGAGAACCATCAGTTTGTGCCAAACAGTCGGCAGTCCAGAGTCCGGGACCACCAAATGCACTATTATAGAGGTCAGTAGAAAGAGCACAGGACAGTCACCATCACAGGACACACATCAGTTGTCCAGACGGCCGAAACGGCGCGATGTACTCCAACACGACGAGGAAGGAAAGCCTTGTGTGTGCGTGTTGAGAACCTTCCGTCAGGTGTGGTTATCGTGTTGGATCCGATGACCAGGATACGGCAGACACAGTATCACAGGATAGACATCGGTTGTCCAAACGGCCGAAACGGTGCGATCGAGTCGAACACGACGAGGAAGGAAAGCCTCGTGCGCGCGTGTTGAGAACCTTCCGTTATGTGTGGGTATCGTGTTGGATCCGATGACCAGGGTACGACAGACACCACGGTACAACAAAAGCAGCAAAAGTTATTCATGACCAAGGCACAGTGAAAGCACTCCACGCGGTGTGGTTGTCGTGTTGGATCAGGTTTGGTTGTCGTGTTGGATCCGATGACCAACGTAGGTTACCTTGATATGGGCACAACAAAAGCACTCCACGGGGTTTGGTTGTCGTGTTGGATCCGATGACCAGCTTTGGTTACCTTGACCCAGGCACAACAAAAGCACTCCACGGGGTTTGGTTGTCGTGTTGGATCCGATGACCAGCTTTGGTTACCTTGACCC